ATGCACCTTTGTTGGCTATAGTTTGCACCACAAGGGATACAAGTGCTTGAATACCTCTGGTCGAATTTATATTTGTCAAAATGTACAATTTGATGAATATGATTTTCCATTCAAAACATCTATTTTTCCTGGTTCCAATTCTGCACCTAATTCAATAAACACTGAATCTTTTTTAGTTCTTTTATTCATTTAGTTTGGCATATAACTACTTCTGTCTCCAAGATATCTTCCAGTCCTGTTTCAGCTCCAGTTTCTTCTACTTGTCCTTCCACACTAGGTCAGTCAATCTCACAGGACATTGCATCTTCTCTATCACCTTCCTGTTCTACTAAATCTAATTTACCTCAGACTTCAGCCTCCTCTCTATCTAGTCCAACCCTAACTGCATTTCCCACAACCACCACTGCACTTAGTCTACCATCTCCATATTCTAACTCTACCTTATCAACATCACCTATTATATCCCCTATAACTATAGGTTCATATGAGTCTTATGACACTTCCTCTATTATTGAACTGCCTTTAACCAAGCCTCCACCTCCTGCATTGAACACCCATCCCATGCTTACTAGGTCCAAAACCAGAGCACATAATACTATCCTTGTTTCACCTTCTTCTCTTGGTAACAAAGAAATAGCTATTATCATAGAAGTCCCTCTTCACGTAATAGCTGCTTTCTACTCATATACTCATAAAATATATATAATGAAAACACATGGAAGATAACATAAATAGTTGGGCCCAAAATTTTCTTTCATTATATATATATATATATATATATATATATAGATTCACCTTTTACAACAAAATTTGTATCATGTACAAAAGTGATCAAAAACATGGTGGACAGTGTAACCGCTTCCCCTCGCGTGCCGACGTCTATCTGACCGTGTCCTCACCTAGATCCTGCAAAACATAGGAAACAACGGGGTGAGCACTAAAACAATGCTCAGTAAGTAAATCCCCTACGCATCTAACCCCATAACTCTCTCTCTAATGCTCATTTACTCTTTCTCTTACACTTCTCTCTGTTTTCTCTTTCTCATAACTCTCTTCTACTAACTCTCTTTAGTAAGTCACGACCTCATCTTACCAGAGGCACGGCCGGGACTCGCTCCCGCTCTACGTGACTTCTACTCGTTCTGGCCGATCAGACTCGGTTATGCATGGATTCGGAACCCTTGGCCATGTGAATGTATAATCTCTCTCTCGGGTACTCTCGGGTATAGCTCTCATCCGCATGCACTCTCATGAGCTAACCACTTCTCTCTCTTATACTCATGCTGCTCTTTTAATGCGGCGTACATGCGGGAATACTTTACCCATTTCTCACGGGTTCCCCATTGCACAACCTATTCTAATCTCTTTTTCTCTCTTTTCTCTTAATGAAGCTCATACTCAAAGTTCTCTACTCTTTCTCTACTATCTTTCTCTAATGCAATTAATGCATATGGATGACTCATGCTCATTAATGTACTCATGAAATGCAATTGTGCCATGTAGCAATAATTAAGGTTCTCTACTCTTACTCATGCCTTACTCAAGCATTTCATCATACAACTCATGTGCATATAAAACTCTACTTGATCTATAACTCTTCTTCCCTATTTAATCATCCCAAAATGGAAGAAACTTCCTCATACTCTCTAAGTTCCTGTCAAAGAAAAACACTCCCAAAGGGTTTTGGCTCAAAACTCTCTCCAACTTCCATCAAACTCAACTCAAGCTCAACTCAACATCATAAAATCTCAACTCAACTCAAGTATGTACAACAATAAATAGAAATAACCATCCATCTCATCACAATTTCCCAATAAACATAATATATACATACATACATAAATCTCTACTCAAAAGAGTTCTTAAATCTCAACTTGGGTTGGATTTACTTACCTTGTGGGTAAATAACTTCTCTAGCACTTTTCCTTCCCCTTGTTATCTTGTCTTGTCTCTACAACATTAAACAACAATAACAACATAAGACGTCAACAAATCATAAACAAATTCTCATCTAAAGCAAGATCCTGACCTTAGGATGCTTTAGATGAAATCTCTACTAACAGCTACCCAAAAGCTCCCTAAAATTCCTTAGAACTCTTGGAAGATTGAATGAAGGATGGGAAGAAAATAGAGAGTTGAACGGCGGTGGAAATGGGTGAAATGAGGGTTTACTACACTTAATCCCTTATTTAGCTCATATTATAACCACTCTTTCCCATTTTGCCCTTGCTCTTCCTTGAAATTCCATCTTTGTCCTTTGATTCATTACAAACACACCCCCAACTCCAACACATTCTCTACTAAATTTCCTTACATTTTACTCCCCACTTTTCCTACTAATTAGGGTTAGAATAGTCATTTTCCCCCTATGGAGAATTCTCTAGAAACCTCAAGAAAACTTTTCTGCTGTCCCGTCGCCGCGGCGAAGAAAGTTCTATCGCCCCGGCGAAAAATCATAGAATCGACATTGCAACACAGAGCTGACGTCGCCTCGGCGAAGACTGTAATACCAAGATTCCTCAAATCTCAACCAATTTCAAGGCAAACACTCAACCAACTCAACATACCATTTCAACCAAAGACCAACCAACCAACCAAAAATAACAACATACAAACTCAATTGAAGCTGGATCAATGAACATTTAAGTAATACAACGAATCTTAACTACATACCTCAAGCGGGGCATTACATTCACCCTGCCTGGAAGGCTGCCATGCAATCTGAATTTGATGCCTTGCTAACTAACCAAACTTGGGAATTAGTTCATGCTACCTCTGATATGCATCCCGTAGGCTGCAAATGGGTTTTTCAAATAAAGTACAATCCTGATGTATCCATTCAAAGGTTCAAGGCAAGGCTTGTGGCAAAAGGTTTTCAACAAACTTCAGGGGATTGACAATCTAGAAACATTTAGTCTAGTGGTTAAGTCACCCATAATCAGAGTTATTTTGAGTTTAGCAGTGAATAATGGCTGGGAAATTCAGCAAGTCGGCACTAACAGTGCCTTCCTAAATGGTGAACTCACGGAAAAGGTATGTATGACTCAACCTTAAGGCTTTGTTAATCCTCAACATCGTCATCATGTGTGTAGATTAGTTAAGGGCCTTTATGGTCTAAAACAGGTCGCTAGAGCCCGGCTTGATCAGTTGAAAATAGCCTTCTTGAGTTGGGATTTTGTTCACTTAGTCATTGATCCAAGTCTTTTTGTCTATCAAAAGATGGAAAAGGTTATGTATGTACTAGTGTATGTCAATGACATTCTACTTACTGTAAATGACACAAATTTACTTCATGAAACAATACATAAGCTAAATAATCAGTTTGCTTTAAAAGTCCTAGGCTCACTCAAATATTTTCTCGGCTTTGAGGTTACTAGAACAACATCCTATCTTCATATGAATCAAGGAAAATATATCAAAGATCTCTTAACAAAGACTAACATGCAGAATTGCAAACCGTGTACTACTCCAATGGCTATTGGCACTAAGTTAACTTCAGAAGATAGTGATCTTTATAAAAATGCAGCTTTATATAGGAGTACATTATGAGCCCTTCAATATTTGGCATTATCCAGGCCTAACATTGCCTATTGTGTTAACAAACTAAGCTAATTTCTCAAAGCCCCTACACAGAACCACTGGCAGGCTTGTAAAAGATTGCTTAGGTATCTTAAAAGTACGTCTGACTATGGACTTCTCTTCAGTAAAAGTCATAGACTCAACCTAGAATTTTATACCGATGCTGATTGGGCTAGTAGCATTGAGGACAGGAGGTCCACAAGTGGCTGCTGTGTTTTTCTTGGCACTAACCTACTGTAATGAACTTCTAGGAAGCAGAAAATTGTGGCCCTATCTTCCACCGAAGCCGAGTATAGAGCACTTGCTCAAGGGTCCACTGAATTGGCATGGTTTTGTAGTTTGTTTTCTAAACTTGGCCTTTCCTTATCGGAGATTCCAATTATTTGGTGTGATAATCAAAGTGTTGGATCTCTTGCTTCTAACCCCGTGTTTCATGGGAGAACAAAACACATTGAACTTAATGCACACTATGTTAGAGAACATGTTACTTCTCACAATCTCAAAGTCCAATATGTGCCCACTGAACATCAAAAAGCAGATATCTTTACAAAGGCTCTGCTAGCCTCTAGGTTTGAAACTCTAAGACACAAACTAACCATACAAGCTCCACCTTCTTCTAGCTCGGTTGGCTAAACATCTAATACTCAGGCTGCTACAATTTGATGATAGCCTTTATCAGTTTTGATGGCTTGGGTCGTTTGGTTGTCAGCGCAGAGTTTTACAAAGCAAGGTAGATGGTTACTTTGCTGCAGACCTGGTAGTTTTAGTAGCCAATACAAAGTTTTAAATAATGATTAAGTGCAGCAGTATGAGTTGTGCTTGCTCAACAAACAGTGAAAGCCACACTCACCCCTTACTCAAGATAAAGTCTGGTGGCTAGTACTAAGACAATTAGTAGTAAGTACATAATCATGCATTTGCAGTTCTCAGCTCTTTGCACACTAAGTTCTTACAGTAAGTTCTCAACTCTTTGCAAAATGAGTGGCATTTGCAATTTTTCAGCTCTTTGCACGATAAGTTCTCAGCTCTTTGCAGAATGAATTTTGCAATGCTGAAGTTATTTGCTCTGTAGATCTTTGTTTTGAACATCTGCCTTATTTCGCTTGCTTCTTCAACTTATGAAAAGCCTCATGTTAATTAACTTGGTTGAGTAGAGCAATCATGGAAGTTTAATTTACAGCAGGATGTTAGGATTTGAAATTAATCAAAGACCATATTTCAAGGAAGTTTGATTTATGGCAGGATGTTAGTATATGAAACAAAGCAAAATGTTGACTTGGGTTGACTAATATTAGTTGACTTAGTTGACCATTATTTGGTTTGTATTCCATTACATTAGTTGAGCTTTTTGTTATAACAAGTGTATAAAAAATGAACTGTGCGATTGTTTTAGTTAAACTTTTTCTTCTCAAAATTTTCTTTCATTTTCTCTCACTTTTCTTCACTTTCTTGTTCATTGTTACTGTTCATGCAACCAATTAATGTAAATAAATTATGCAAAAGAAATGTAGAGATTTGTCACGAGTATGAGGTTTTCTGTATTTAATTATTCCATGTGCATCATGTCTAATACTAAAAATATATATCTAATTAGACGTCACCTTTATACTACCAACCGACACCACTACAAGCTTATTATCTTATTCATCTACAAACGTTATCCACCCAATTTCAATCATTAGACAGCTCTTGGTAATATTTGGGAAACATATAAAGTTGAGTTATATAGAGAGAGACATTTACATGCCATGAGCTATATCTATTATAAGAATATAATGATGGTTAATATTATAGAAGAAGATTGTATGACGGAATAAAACATTGAAATTAATACAATATAAATAAAATCATACAATACAAAAGAGACAAGTATTTGACGTGGTTTGACATGACCCATCTCGCCATTCTACCACCAGCTAGTAATGTTAACATATATTTATTCTTGATGTTTAATCAACCCGTTTATATCTCATATCTTTTGTTATTCATCATTCTCTCATAACATACAATTAGTACTTTCATCATTCTCCTATTTATGAGTAATAATATAATATAAGAAATTTTATTTTTAATAAACTTTAATACTCTTATTTCTATTTTTAATAGGATTTTTATTTTCATCTATCATTGTGTTCCACGAATGAGTATCAGGATTCGGAATTTCACCAAAGAGATTAGAGGCCTCTTCCATATTTGACAAATGAACATACCCACTAATCATAATATTCCATGAAAAACTGTCTCGTTCCACCATTTGATCAAAGATTTCCCTTGCAGAAACAATATCTCCCGCCTTCACATAACACATAGTCATCGAATTCCACGACACAACATTCCTCCTAAAGTTTTCATTTCCTTCTTCTCCTTGCTCACTACAAACTGGTATTCGATCAAAAAGCCTTCGAGCTTCCTCTACTCTTCCTCTCTGACCATACCCGGCAATCAAAGTATTATAAGCATGCACTAAATCTTCTCTACCGTCACACCTATTCCCAAATTTAACCAGAATTTTTCCCGCTTCATCCAACTCACCATTCTTAATAAGACCAGCCACAAGTGCGCTTAAAGAAGCAGAGTCCCGTTCAGGCATTTTCTCAAAAAACTCCATAGCACGAGCCACGTCACCATTCTGCAAAAACCCCGAAATCATAGCGTTCCACGATACAACATTCCTCTCACTCTCAGGCATTTCATTAAAAACCCTCAACGCCGCCTCCGTCATACCATTCTTCGCATACCCACTAATCATTGTATTCCACGAAACACTATCTCTTTTAGGCATTTTATCAAACAACAATCTAGCCTCCTCCAAAAACCCACTTCCACGACACGAAATATACCCCGAAATCATTAAATTCCACGAAACGACGTCTCTTCGAGGCATTATATCGAACAGTTGTCTTGCTTTAGCCATTTCTCTGAATTTTACATACCCATTGATCATCGCATTCCACGTTACAGTGTTTCTTTGTACTGTTTTATCAAACACGACTCTTGCTTCACTCAGACGGTTCGTTCTTATCAAATGGGAGATCTTTTTGTTAGGCGAGTAAACGTCCGGCTTCGACTTCGTCTCGGAGGCAAAGTTGCGAGACAGTGAAGTTACTTTCCGGGCAATGCATGATCCCAGTAAATAACGAGAAAGATAGCTTCGAGCTTGAGCTCTTCTTTTGGTGGCCAAAACGGTCGCGTTTAGCCTCTGCATGGTTTCAGTGGAACCCCAAGCTAGCTGCTGAGCTTACCGCGTTGTTAGATAAACGGTGACACCTTGAACAGACCAAGACGTGCAAGTCTGAAACGGTTTCCAACATATTGGAGTTTCGAGAGCGGAAGCTGGTTGTTTTTTAAGGGAATTTGATTGATTCTTTGAAACGGGGGTTTGATGGGGCTGTTTATTAGGTTAAACACATTAAAAATGAGATTTTAATACGAAAAAAAAATATTTATTCGTGTTACCATAATTTTATCTACATATTTTAAATAAATAAAAACAGGATTAACATAAATAATGTGGGCCTATTTTCCTTCCATCTGATCTGAGATTGTGAGTGCGATGTAAGATAAAAGAAGTCATGGGTAGTCTCCACGTCCGCATTCCGCCGCCGTGGAACCACAACGTCCGGCGGCTCCACAACCAAGAGCCACAACAACCCTTGTGCCATTTCCCATCTGCAAGTTTAAGCAAGCAAGGCCAGCGGTTCCTCAGGTCTCTGGTAGTCACACGAGACTCCAAAACGGCCAACCGTTTGATAAGTAAATTTGTTGCATCGTCTCCTCAGTTTATAGCTCTCAACGCCCTCTCTCACCTCCTCTCTCCTCACTCCACTCACCCCCACCACCTCTCCTCTCTCGCTTTACCAGTAAGTCACAGTTCCCTTTCTCAGCTTCATGTTAAAAGGATGAACTTTTATATTATTACACCATCAAAATTGCTTTTTTTTTTTTTTTTCTTTCCTGTAGTTGTACTTGAGAATAACTGAAGAGTCATGGTTTAAGTGGAATCCGAAGCTAGTTGCTGAGCTCATGGCGATGTTAGTTAAACAGGGAAAGCATGAAGAGACTGAGGCTTTAATGTCTGAAAGGGTAGGAAAATTGGAGTTTCGAGAGCGGGAACTGGTTGTTTTTTATGGGAATTTGATTGATTCTTACTGTAAAAATGATTTGAAAGGTGAGTTTCATGAGATTTGTGGTCGTTTGGGTGGGCTTATAAGTGATTCTTTTTCTGTTTATGTAAAACGCCATGGTTATAAGTCGATGGTTAGTGGTTTATGTGAGATGGGTCAGCCCCATGAAGCTGAGAATCGGGTTGAAGAGATGAGAGTTGAAGGACTCAAGCCAACTGGGTTTGAGTTTAGGTGTCTTGTTTATGGGTATGGGAGATTAGGTTTGTTTGAAGAAATGGAGAGATGTGTTAAGAAAATGGAGAGTGAAGGGCTTGAGGTTGATACAGTTTGTTCGAATATGGTTCTCTCTTCTTATGGGGCTTGCAATGAGCTTTCGAGAATGGTTTCAATGCTGCAAGACTTGAATGATTTTCCGGTTTCGATAACAAAGTTGACAGGGAGTTTGAATGGGGATGAGGTTCAGTTGGTTGAATCATGTGTTTTGAATGAGGCGATGGAATGGAATTCCATGGAAGTAAAGCTGGATTTGCATGGTATGCACTTGGGTTCAGCCTACTTGATAATGTTGCAGTGGATGGAGGAGATGAGATTCAGGTTTAGTGATGGAAATTATGCGATTCCAGCAGAGGTTACTGTGGTTTGTGGATTAGGAAAACATAGCAGTGTTAGAGGGGAATCCCCAGTGAAAGCTATGGTTAAAAATATGGTGATTCGAACAAATTGTCCACTGAGAATTGATAGGAATAATATTGGTTGTTTTGTTGGCAAAGGGCATGTTGTTAAAAACTGGTTATGTTGATCAAGAAATGATATTGCTGTTAAGAATTTGGTCTCATAAAGGCTTTCATTTATATATTTGATAATGCTTTACACGTAGGTAAAGAACTCGTTTTCTTTACATTTCTAGGGTTCCAGCTCTATCAAAAATTTGTACACCAGAAACAACAAGAGTTGAAGAATGAACAATGAGCCAGAATTGAGAATACCGTACCCAACAAATCTCAGCAGCTCTCAAAACCATGGCATCCACCATATATACATCTTGCCAAGATTTCTGTGCGAGACTGCTTCAGCAATTAAGCGACGAGCCTGACCTTCTACACCTAAAGGTAAAGATGGTGCTGCCCCAACCCCAACCTCGACCCCTTGCAACCTTGCCTGAATATTACTGATGGCTCGCTGCAAATATTGAGAGTATATGCTTAAATGATCAGTTCCAATATGGTGACAAAAGCATCAAATTTGCTGATGGTACAATCTGTAAACATTAGAATCGTAAAGCAGTACTTGTTACTAGAACAAAGGAGAACAGCGAATACAAATACCTGTGCATGTGGGTTCTGAACTTCTACCCCACTGGATTTGTGGGATTTAGTCCACTCAACGAGAGGATCATGAATGAACGTTTCAAGAACACTCATCAAAGTCTCCCTGTGAGTTCTCAGCACTTGAAGTGTGATTTCACAAGCCTTCAGGAAGATACCCTCATAACCAGTGATCCCCAAGCCGTCAATCATGTTCTATATACATTCCATCAGATAGTGTCAGTTTTTTCAGTAGGCAACTGAAATAATTAGGATACAGCCAGAGAAACAAAAACAATACTATGAATAGGACATCGAGTATTAGTATGAGTTAACTAATAAAATGAAGTCCAGAAAAACAGTGATTAGAAATAAATATATAAGTACACCTTTATCTTTGCTACATGATTAGTTTACTTCACCAAAAAGTTACTAATAATACATTTATCACAAAGGATTATATATATCCCGCACATAATTTCAAACCTTTGGCAAAATGCGAGATATTCCTAAAAGTGAATACTCAGATTATATTTCATAGATCTTGTTCTCACAGAAAAGTGGAAAAACTCGAGGATTTCTAAAATTTCAAGAATACTGATTAAAACCATAGTATCTATGGATATATGTTCTATTTATACCTGGGTCAACCTAAAAGGCACCAGCTCAGGCTTCTCCAACTGCAAACCTTTATCAAACAGGCAACTGAAATCAACATGAACACAGTCACCAGTGGTAGAGTCAAAGAGAATGTTTTCCCCATGTCGATCACCCAGCCCTACAATATGTCCAACCATGGACCAAACAGCCGTAGTGTGTGCATAGGCAACTCGGGCCCGAAACCAAGCAGCAGGCTCAGAAAAAGTGGTCAAGAACCATTTGTGAAATACTGGGGGAAACATAGGAAGGATCTTTGTCTTCAACATCTCATCTTCTGGCATTTTACCTTGGCATTGATCATAAATCCGTTTAATTTGGGGATTTGTTTTCTGCCTATCAAATTTGCCACAGGATATATAAATGTCCTGAAGTATATGCCGGAGTCCACGAGTATGAGGTACCCATTCCACCATACCACAATCCTCGGTTAGAGGAATTACTGCAAAGGTACGAATATAAAGCTTCCTTCGACGACTTTCAGGATATTTTGCTAACAAACGGTTTATCATTGCAGTGAACTCCATCATACGAGCATCTTTCCTAAGATCATCCTTGGGTTTGCAAAGGAACGGGCGTTCAATGCCATCACTGCCCAATAGAACAATCTGAAAACACACACACACACACACACACAAAAATCAATAAATAAATAAAAATAAAGCATATACTGTATTAGAAAGATAAGGTGTGCAAACCCTCTAGGTAGCTAATAGAACAGTCTATAAAGAACATGGCAAAGGGATGAAGCTTAAGTGGTATGGTCTATATAGATTATCATCAAAATTGGCACAAATCGTGACTTATACCTAAAATTTCAAATGCTTATCAAAATCAGAATGCAATTCATTAGGTCTAAAATGTCCATAATAAAGGTTTGGTTAATTCACTCTATTTTTTGCAAGTTAGTAAACTGTACTTCAGACCAATATCTTCCCAACAACATCAAATGTTTTCCCTAGGAACAAAGTTGTGGTATGATGTGAATGTGAAACACTGAAAAACAAAGCCAAATAATTGTAAATGACTTCAAAAGTAATGAATGAAGACTTACAAGAAAAATTTGAAGAAGAAACTTTTATTGATTGATGATACTTTGTACACGAGAGTTTTTCTCTCTCAAGTTTTGAACTAAAATCTATAGTCTTAAACTTACACTCTAAAAAGTTTTGAAGTGTGTTCTAAAAGTGTTGCGATTACAAAGGAAGGAATACAAATTTATACTATAACAGACCGGATTTCAAAAGCATTTGAATACGTTACATTAATACAACACAGGGAAAAGATAAAGTTGTTGCTAAGGTGATGAGCTGTCCTGGATACGTGTCTTGAATTATTGAGGACTTGTTCTGATATTGGCTGACATAAGGATAACGTTCATAATTGAACTCTTGAAAAGTCTTGCTTGTTGTCAGGGGAGCTTGAAAAGTTTTGCATTTAGATAAGTCTTCATGTCTTGAAATTGTGGATGTTGTAGAAGCTATGTGATGAAAGAAATCTTGAAAATCTTCGCAAGGACAATCTTGAGAAAGTCTTGATACATGTCAGGCGATCTTGAAAATTTTTTCATTTTGAAAAGTAATAACTAGAAGGTCTTCAAAGTTGCAGAGAAGCTTGACAGTCATTTTCAATATTTGATATTTGATTTATATTACATACCTTTTAAAGATCCTGCTTTATATGGTATCAGAGCCAAGTAGAGTCAATAGAAGTAAGGAATTAGCAATACAAAACTGCACAAAACAACATCCATAAACGCAGTTACTGCAACAAATTACTGTTCAACAACACTGTTCACAATATTGTTCACTGTTACTATTCATGCATTTGTAGCAGTTACTGTAGATTACTGTTTATCCGTGGACTGTTTACTTCTTGATTCATTTAAGGGTTAGATTGTAACGCCCGCTTGAGGTACATAACTCATATTTGCTCATTTTGCCCTTAAAGTTGTTTTTGTGCCCTTAGTTAAGTGTGTATGTGTTGAAATTGCTTGAATACCCTAAAATTGGTAAAGTCTTATTGAAATTTGTGAAAGGCAAACTTCGTCGCGGCGACGTAGGCCTTGGAATTCTTCGTCAAGGCGAAGATCCGGCTGAAAATCCTTCTGAGTTTCTAGAGAATTCTTCCTTTGGGGCACAATGACCATTCTACCCCTAATTAGTAGGAAAAGTGAGGAGTGAAGTGCAAGGAAATTGCATGGAGAATAGTTTAAATGGGGGTGCATTTTGCAAAGAATTAAAGGGCAAAGGTGGAATTCTAAGAAAGAGTAGAGAAAATATGAGATATTAAGGGTTTAGCTTTAGAAACCCTTTCATTCTTTCTTTTCCACTGCCTCTTCCATCCTTCAATTCTCTTAAGCTTTCATTCAATTTTCCAAGGATTTTTTGAGGGCTTTTGACTAGAAGTTGATACAAGTTGATCCTAAGCACTTAAAGGTAAGAATCCTTACTCTAGATATGAATTTTATTGGTGTAAGAGTATGATCCTTACTAAGTTTGTGTTTAAGGTTTAAGAGAAAGCATCAAGCTATCAAGAGTAGAGAGCTTAAGTGGATTCTACTTGAGTATAAGGTAAGTAAATCCACCTAAGTTGTGAGTTGCATGATTGAATGATGTATAGAGATTTGTATATGATTAATGCTTGAATTTTTATGTTTGAAATGAATTGATGGATTTATGAATGCGTTCAATGTTGATTTATGGAGAGATTTCCACCATGAGAAGGGTGGATTGTGTTGATAAAATTTGGTAGAAGTATGGATAGAATTAGAAGAATTTGAGAGGAATATTTGAAGTGTGTTTTCTTTGCAGGATGTGTGATGATTTGAAGGAGTTGAACTCCAATTTTGGATGGTTAAGAAAGAAGTAGAATTATAGTTAGAGTAGAGTTTATGTATGCACACATATTGTTTAATGAAATGCCTAAGAGAAGCATGAGTAGAAATAGAGAACCTTACTTTATGCAACATAGCATATTTGCATTTCATGAGTGCATATAAGAAAGATTCTAGGCATGAGCCATCCATATGCATATATTTATTTGTGTAATCATCAAAGAAAGAAATATGAGTAATGAGAAAGAAACACTTTAAGAATAAAGATAAAGAAAAGAACTAATTCTCTTAGAATAAAGAGAAAGAAAGAGTTAGCACTAGAGAATAAAATGAATAAAAAGTGCTAAGGAAGAGAAAAGAGAATAGGTTGTGCGATGGATAACCCGTGAGTGTAGAATTACCCGCATGTAAACCGCCGTGAGAGAGCGGTCTCCGCCATGAGAGAGTGGAATGAGAATGAGAAAAAGAATTCGTATAGCCCGTGAGAATACATGCGGATGAGGGCTATACACGAGAGAGAGTACACTCACATAGCCAAGGGTTCCGAATCCATGCATCAGCCAAGACCGATCGACAAAGAATAAGAGAAAGAATAAGAATAAGAAAAGAATAGAAAGAAAAGAAAAGAGAGAAAATGCATTGCTTTGCATTAGTGCATATGCATCTCATCCATGCATGTTATCATGATATCCCTCATGGGTGAAGAGAATAGAGAGAAAGAAAGAGTAGAAAGAAGGAAAGAGCCGAGAGAAAGAAAGAATAGAAAGAAAGAAAAGAACAGTGAGAACTAGAAACAAAGATAGAACAAGAGAGATTGAATAAGAGAAAGTGACAAGAGTAAGGAAAGAATTGAAGAGTGATACACGGAGATAGTGGAGTAGAGGATTTACTTACTGAGCATCTTTGTGCTCACCCCATTATTTTCTATGTTTTTGTAGGACATAGGTGAGGACGTGGTCGGATGGACGCCGGCAAGCGGGGAGACTTGGCTACACTGTCCATTGTTTTGAGAGTCTTTTTGTACAAATGATACTGTACTATGTAAAGAATGTATATATTAAGTAAAGAAAATTTTTGGGCCCAACTATTTTGATAAATATACTTGTATTTTTATTAATACATTGTATGAATATGATAGTAGAAAGAAGTCATTACATAGATTAATCTAGAAGGTTTTAATCTAGAAGAACTCTAGAATTGATTCTAGGTTGCGCTTGGTCAGCCTAGAGGGTGTGTTGGTCAGCCTGTAACCGTTGGTCAGCCGTGTTAGGTGGTCCCATAGGTGGTCCCATACCTTGGTGGTCCCGTGATCTAGGAGAGAAACTAGAACTTTTAGGTTAGAATTATTATAGAGATGTCTAATTTCTTAAGGAGATTAGGAAGTAGCAGTAGACGAGATGATAGTAGTAGCAGTAACGCTATTAGAATTAATAATCAATAACAAAACACAAACACTAATCAAGAATTAATGAAATCTATTAACACTCAAGAAATTAATATGGCAAAAATCGATGAACACTTACATAATTGGAACATACCACCAGTTAAAAAAGACACAATATATCAAATAGGTAGTTTTGAATTTATGTCAAATTACTCTATTAAAATAACAAAAGACACAATAATGATAACCGAAGAAAGGATTGAAGAAATTCAACTTCTTTCTGAAGAAGCAATACACAAACATAGAGAAAACAATTATAAATTTTTACACATAGGATCAGTACAAGTAGCCGTAAAACCATTATTTAGATTAGGACAAAACATTCCAATATTAGTAATGTTAAGAGATGCAAGAAATTTAAACTTCAATAACTCTATATTAGCAGTATTAAATTCTAATTTAGAAAGTGGTTTAGTATATTTTGATTGTTATCCAAACTTTACAATAGGTTTACATGATCCAACAATACTGTCTGCATTAACTATTAACTTAAAAGCTTCTAATCTTACTTATCAAGATAAAGCCCAACCAGTAGCATTAATATATAGGATTTATTACAAAGTTATGAATACAACAATTAGTCCAAGAGCCATTAGGATGTCCCCACTAGGACATACAGTTATTATGGAAGCAAATAAAACAAAACATAAAACTTTCACACCAAAAAGATTAGCTTGGGATGAAATTATTAAACAAACAGATTGGAAATTAGAAAAATTATGCCCTCCAAAACCTTTACATGATCAAAATGAATCTAAGATACAACAAATAATGCAAGAACCAGATGGTACAATAAGAATAGAATTTAAAGAAACTCCCATAGAACAAAATCAACCTATCATTACTAACAAAAATCATCACAACCCTAGGATTGAAGAAATTATTACACCTAGGCCTTCATCAGCAACTTCAACAAGTAAATTAGTAGGAGTAAATTATTCCCCTCCTGTACCAAAACCTGCATATGAAAACTCATCAAGTCCACCTAGTTCACCAACACAATCAGAAGTATTAGGAAATTATAGTCAAATCAACACAATAACAAAACCATTTGAAATTAACAAAGAATTATTAAAGCAAGAATTCCTACAAAATTATAATCAAGAAAAACGACGAAGATTCTTTACAACATTTAAACTAAAAGAACAAAATACCCTTAGATCTGAATGGTACAACACACAAGAAAAATTAAAACAAAATATTTATTTCTTTAATTGGTTAGAAAATAGAAAACATTATCAAAATTTAAGTGAAAAGAAAACTATTTGTGTAACCACTAATGCAACAAAAAAATGGCAAACATCCACCAATAAAACTATTACATCTAT